AAAATGGTATTGCGGAGCAGAAAAATAGACATATCCTTGAAACAGCTCGAGCGCCCTTAACAACAGCACATGTACCTCGACGTTATTGGGTAAATGCAATTGTTGCTGCTGTTTATTTGTTGAATCAAATGCCATCTGGAGCATTGAAATTTGAAACTCCATTACAAACTCTTGTTCATCGTGTACCATTGCCATCTGTCTTAATGCTTCCACCTCGCATATTTGGTTGTGTTGCTTATGTTCATCTTCATAAAGATCAGCGGACCAAGCTTGATCCATGTGTTGTCCGTTGTGTGTTTCTCGGATGTGCGACTCAAAAGAAACGCTATAGATGCTATGATCCTACTACCAAGCGCCTCTATGTTATAATGGATGTTACATTTCTTGAATCTGAAACTTTTTTTGGAAATTTAGATTCACATTATTCTCTTAAGGAGAAGCTTCTTAGTGAAGAGAAGAATGTGAATGGTTGGGAAAACTAGCCATGCTTTGAAGATACAAACATGAAAAAAAAATGACACTGATGGTGCAACTAAATCAGATGAAGTTCAATTGCTAACACCTGTTCTAGTTGAGACTCAACCAATCCCTGAAGAAATTCAAGGTGACCTGGTTAAGCAACCACCAATGGAAATGACAAGTTCGGAAGAAAATAGTAATTATGATCAGGCAAGGAGTATGCAGGAGGATCTCATCCAACAAGGACAAATCATCTCTCATACTTTAGTACCAAATGACCACTCTCCTGAGAATACTCCTGAGGTACAATCTCTTGACTCCTCCCTCAAAAATGCTATTGATGCTTCTGTTGGTTACATATTATCTTTCAGACATAATCGTGGTAAGCAACCAAATCGGTACTCACCAGTTCATGAAAAAAACAAGGCAAAGTATCTGATTGCTAATCATGCATGTACCCAAAGACTATCACAACCCCTCAAAGCATTCGTGCATAAGTTATCTTCAGATTATATTCCAAGTACAGTACAGAGGCACACAATGATCCAGAATGGATCAAAGCAATATCTGAACAAATGGCAACTCTACAGAAGAATGATACATGGAAGCTTATGCCGCTGCCTGGAGGAAAGAAAACAGAACAATGTAAATGGGTATTCTCCATTAAATACAAGGCAGATGAGTCAATAGATCACTATAAGGCAAGACTTGTAGCTAAGGGATTTACGCAGTCATATGGTATAGACTATCATGAGACATTTTCACCAGTAGCAAAGTTGAATACGATAAGAGTATTGTTGTCTCTTGCCGCAAACTTGGATTGGCCACTACATCAGTTTGATGTAAAGAATGTGTTTCTTCATGGGAACCTTGCAGAAGAAGTATACATGACTATTCCACCGGGCTTTACTACCTCACAAGGTGGAGTTGTATGCAAATGCAGAAGGCACCATATGGACTAAAACAATCACCGAGGGTGTGGTTTGAACGATTTAGCTTGGCTATGAGGAAGCATGGATTCAAACAGAGCAATTCGGATCATACTCTATTCTTGAAGCATCGGAAAGGGATGGTAACTGCTTTAATTATTTATGTTGATGACATGATGGTTACATCGAATAACAAGGAGGAGATCTCAAATTTGCAGAAGCATTTGGAAACATAATTCGAGGTGAAGAATCTTGGAGGACTAAAATATTTTTTGGGAATCGAGGTAGCTCGATCAAGTCAAGGCATTTTTCTCTCACAAAGGAAATATTTACTTGATTTGCTAGCTGAAACGGGAATGCTTGAATGTAAGCCTGCTAGCACTACAATAGTTCAAAACTGTGGACTCGGAGTGCACTCAAACCAGATACCTACAAATAGAGAAAGGTACCAACGGCTGGTGGGAAAATTGATTTACCTATCTCATACACGGCCGAATATTGCCTATGCGGTAAGCTTGGTTAGTCAATTCATGCATAACCCTAGTGAGGAACATATGGATCTTGTACTTCGAATTCTATGGAACTTAAAGTCTTCTCCACAGGAAAGGACTCATATTTAGGAAATATAACTATTTAAATATTAATGGTTATACGGATGCCGATTGGGCTGGAAGTATCACTGACAGAAAATCAACATCAGGAACTATTGTCTAGTGCAGAGGCTGAATTTAGAGGCATGGCTAGAGGACTTTGTGTGCTTCTTTGGTTGAAAGAGTTACTGAAAGAGAGTGATTATTCACCTGGTTCAACAACGAATTTGTTTTGCGATAACAAAGCGGCCATAGAGATTGCAGAGAATCCAATTCAACATGACAGGACAAAACATGTCCAAGTGGACCGTCATTTTATCAAGGAAAAGCTCGAAGATAAAATAATCCAATTCTCATTTGTAAAGTGAGAAGATCAGTTGGCTGACATTCTTACAAAGGCAGTATCAAGCAAGGCTTTCTATAGCTCATTAGACAAGTTGGGTATTGAAGACATCTATGCACCAACTTGAGGGGAATGTTGATTTGTGCAGCCATTTTAGGGAGAGATGATAGGGATTCCTTCTTATTTGTCTCCAATTATAGATTCCAAGATCATAGACTAAACTTAAGTACAAGAGTTATTACCTTCCAAGTATAGATCCTTTGTATATGTTATATAAACAACATCTTGTATTCATTGTATTTAAGAATCGTATGAAATAAAAGGTTACCATTCTAGACATAATGTACACATAAAGAGCATCGCAATGGTGAGATATATTTACCTTTTTGACTTGTTTATCACAAGATTCTATATTGCACGAGAAATTTAGAATATCAGGTTTATGTTGGCTTTTATAGTCTTCTTGACAAGATATGCGGTGAGCTTGGTTAGTCAATTCATGCATAACACCAGTGAGGAACATATGGATGTTGTACTTCAAATTCTACGGTACTTAAAGTCTTCTCCAGGGAAATGACTCATGCTTAGGAAGTATAACCATTTAAATATTAATGGTTATACGGATGCCGATTGGGCTGTAAGTATCACTGACAGAAAATCAACATCAGGATATTTCACTTTTGTTGGTGGAAACTTAGTCTCTTGGAGAAGTAAGAAGCAAAAGGTAGTCCATTGTCTAGTGCAGAGGCTGAATCTAGAGGCGTGGCTAGAGGACTTTGTGAGCTTCTTTGGTTGAAAGAGTTAATAAAAGAGATTGGTTATTCATCTGGTTCAACAATGACTCTGTTTGCGATAACAAAGCAGCCATGCTAGGCTGTCAAGTGGGAAATCTCCCAACAACATATTTGGGGATGCCCTTGGGAGCAAAAAATAGATCCCAGGAGTTATGGAATGAGGTGCTGGAGAGGTGTGAAAAGAAACTTGCTCTATGAAAAGGAAATTATCTTTCTCTGGGAGGGAGGATTACTTTAGTCAATAGTGTGCTAGATGCTCTTCCTACTTACATGATGTCTCTTTTCCCAATTCTTGTAAAAATTGAGAAAAGACTGGATGCTTTAAAGGAGGAAATTCATACAAGGGAAAAAGGAGAAGAATGCCTACAATTTGGTAAAATGGAGCACTTTGCTAAAATGCAAGAGGGATGGAGGTTTGGGAATCAAAAATTTGAGACAACATAACAAGAGTTTACTTATGAAGTGGCTATGGAGAATATTCTCTGGAGGATCAAGCTTTATGGAGGAAGGTTATCTGTGAAAAATATGGGGCAGATGGAAGGTGCTGTAGTGTACAGCAGGAGCTTCTGGACCCTATGGTGTAAGTGTATGGAAGTCAATTAGAAATTTATGGCCAGGATTTATCAGCAATGTTAGTATCAAAGTGGGGAATGGCAATAAAACTTCTTTCTGGAATGATGTGGTATCTTTTCATGAGTATGAAAGATGTGAAATGGGCAATACCTAGGACAACTGCAGAAATGTTAGCTTGCTGAAATGACCCAAGTATTCTACTGAGGCAGAAGCATTGGTGGAGGTTGATCCCAGCATGTATTTGGTGAACAATTTGGTTGGGGAGAAATTGAAGATGCTTTGAAGATAGAGCTAACACTGAACAGAAGATCAAGACAAATTGTATATTTTTGTTTCACTTTTGGCGTAAAGAAGCTTTGGTAGAGGATGTAGAGTCTATAGTGGATATTATTGGGTCTTTGTAACTACCACAAGTCTGGGTTTGCGTTTTTGCTCTTTTTCGAGGGTCTTGTAACTATCTTTAACCTTCAGCATAATCTTTATGCTAAAGGTTTTTCTACTTAATTTATAAAACTTGTTACCTTCTCAAAAAAAAAAAAAAAAAAAAAAAAAAAAAA